AATCCAAATCGTAGCCTGGTCGTTCATGGAGACCGTGGTAGCAAGGTGGTCCTAAGGAGCTTCCGAAAGCTCCCAAAAGGAGCCCAAGAACCCCGCAAAACTGCGGACAAAAACCTCTAAACAACTTCCACACCAAAACCCGACATATTCAATATTTAAACAAACGGTCACTTTCTTTATGAATCCGGCCTCCCGTACTTTTCGCTCGCTTCTACAAAATCGTCCGCGAGGTTGCGCCGCCCGCCGATGCAAATGACATGCAAGGAACATGACACTGCAACGTTCGCGCGAAGACTGCGCACAATCCTGATAGGGGGCGTCCGCTCGGCACTCTGCGGGAAGATTGCCAGGTGCAGCAGCACACGCGGCAAAACCAGCCTGGCGCGTCGGGCGGGCCCTGACGGGCAGGTCGGGCGGGCGGGCCCAGGAGGCCAGGTCGAGCGAGCTGGTCGCAAAATTGTCAACCCATCTTGCAGGAATTTTCGAACGATGACGCGATTCCCAAGTAAATCGACGGGGCATCCAAAGCGAGAGCGTGTTTTGTGAGTCGTGGGGGCACGGCGTGGCAATACATTGTGAGGAAACGCGACGCGACAGCGCGATTCCTTGATAGTTTATGAATAGGTCCCGCGCGAGAGCGCGAATTCGAAACATATTGCGGGGACATTGCTGGCGGAAGCCGTTGCTGTTGTTATTGTTGTTGTTGTCCTTATTGTTGATGTTGTTGTTGTTGCTGTTGCTGTTGCTGCTGTTGTTGTTGTTGTTGTTGTTGTTGTTGTTGTTGTTGGTGTTGTTGTTCTTGTTGTTGTTCTTGTTGTTGTTGTTGTGGGCGCGGCATGGCGATCGCAAACTTTCCCGCGTAAGAAAAACTGGACGCGAGCCCCAGGAGGAGCAAATTACTTAGAAATGCAACGGTCACCGGGGGGGCCCGCATGAATTATTCCTCATTGCTGAGAATCCAGCACCACCAATAACAATAAGGTTCAAACAATTCGCAACTTTCTGTTCGCGCGCCACTTACCCGGTATATCCCACACCCTCGGCGCCCGCTTTTTTCGTCTTCGATCGCGCCCCCTTGGGAATGCATCTCCCTTCCCTGCCGCGCGCGCGTTTAGCCCGGCCCAAAAGACAGAGGAAGACATGGCGGATGGAACTGGGGGAGCAAAGGATGGGGCACGAGAGAAAGAGGAGGGCGGATGGAAGGAGGAGGATGGAAGGAGGATGGGGCGGGGGGATGGGGGGGGAGAAAACGCGTGGCAGAACCAAACGGGCAGATCGGGCGGGCAGACCCGAGCGGGCGGGTGGGGAAGGCGGGCCCGGGCGGCCAGATCGAGCAGGCGGGCTGCTGGAGCGCGAGACCTGCGTGAATCGCCCCCCGAGGGGGGGGGGGGCCATGGCCTGCGGGCGGCCGTGGATCCGAGTGCGGAGGTCATTGACGGCGGGCGCCGTCTGCCCCTTGGCCGTGACGAGCCTGCGCGTTTCGGTTGCCCTGGGTGGCTGCCCTCCCCCCCCCTGGAAGCGCCACGGGGGCTGGGCGCGCGCCGTCGGAAGGGGTGGAGGAGTGGTTGAAGGGGGGGGGGAGGAGAGAGGAGGAACGGGGAGGTAGCGGAAGGGGAGGGGCGGAGGAGGGGTGCGGGGGCCTCGTCGGAAGGTCAGTCACGCCCCCATCGGCGATTATGCCATCCCGAATAAGCTGGGAACCCAACCCCGCGCTGGAGGTACTTGGGCAGGCTGGCGCGCTCTGTCGTCGCCTTTCGGAGGTTGCCACAAGTGTCCCTGGCCCAGGGTGCCCCAGGCTTTCGCGCAGCGTTGCCCCCCGCTGCCCCCGCCCCCTGGCCTTGTGAGGGGTGCTCTCGGCGCCCTGGGGGGCTACTTGGAGTTTCTGGGCGCGCGCGGGGGGCGGGGGCGGGCCCGGGGCTGGGGGCGCCTTTCGCGCCACGCGAGCCTAGGCTGGGAGGGGGGGAAATCCCTCGCTCCCTCTGGCCGCGGCAGCGACAGGTACGCATTGATTGCGGAGATCGCGCCTGGCAAGGGGGCTGCCCAAGTTGCAATCGGCTTTCGTCGGGCGGCGGCGGCGGAGGCGGCGACGCGCGCGCGCGCGCCACCGCCGCCGCCGCTGCCGCCGCCGCCACCACCGCCGGACTGTTTCTCACGGGGCACTAGGTGCGCCCCAGCAACCCCCACCGTTCCCGAGCTAGACAGTTCCAGGCGCGTTCTCCTACGGCCTCTGAGAGAGCGCCCGAAGCTCGCAAAAAGAAGCTCTCTGGGACCGTGTTCACGTTACCCGTTGGTCCTGGGGCCCCGCGCCCCTCCCCTCGGCGCCAGGGTCGCCGCAGGTAACCCCCGCTGCGCCAGGCGCCAACCACTTGGCCAGCGCCCCGTAGCTCTGGGACGTTTTGGGCTCCTCGCGCGGGCGGAAGCGCCGCGGAGACGAGCGCGGAGGCAGGAGGGGCCGACTCTGCAGGGGTCGCGCGCGATGGGTCGAGGCGGGGCGGGGCGCGGAGGGGCGCCCCCGCTCCCGCCGTTTTTTCCCTCGGCGGAGCCGTCCCTCGTCTGCGCGTTCCAGCGAAATCGCGCCCCCCCCATCGCGCACGCTGCCCGCTGTTTCCATCCGCCCGCGCTCGTGGCAGAGCACGCAGTCGCGGCCCTTAGCGAGCGAGTCCGAAATGTCGGTCGCCTTCAGGGTCGACCACTCAGGGGCGCGAGACGGCGACGGCGACGGCGACGGCGACGGCGGCGCCGACGACGGCCGCGACGGCGACGACGGGGCATCCGACGACGCCGACGACGTCGACGACGACGCCATCGATACGGCGTCGACGCCAACGAACTGGCGCCGTCTCCGCCGCCGCCGACGGACGGTCGCCGCGGCTGCGCTCGTCGGCCGAAAGATCGACGGGCGATGGATGCAGCTGCCCAGGGAGCCGTTTAGCGCGAGCACCACCACCGTCATGGTGGTGGCCTGTGCCTGCTCGTCTTCGCTGAGTGCGGCGCTGTCAGGCGGGTGGTCCCTGGCAAAGCGTTTGTCGGGCGGCCGTTGGTGGGTGGTGGCCTTACTGGGGGGGGACGTGCCCCAAGGCGCGCATGATGGCCCATTTGGGGGCTCAGGGGTGCCCGACAGGGCTCCCTGAGCCCCGATTAGCGGCCGCCCGAGCCTAAGGCACAGCGTCGCCTTCTTCACCGAAGCCTGCCGCTCGGCCACCGTGGGCAGCTTCTCCTGCTGGGTGTATCGGGAGGGCGGGGGTAAGCTGGGTGCGCGCGCCATATCTGACGTCCCACGCCCCCCCTTTCCCTCCCACCACTTATCATGGCGCTGGTCTCTTCTCAAGTCGCGCACTTTCGAGAAGTGCATAGGCCCTGAGATGGCATGCCAGGAGTGGCGCCCCCGTGCGCGCGCATTGTACAGTCTCGGGCCCCTGGCCGAACAAGGCTTCGCTCGGTGCGGGCACTTTTCCACGCACTGAAATGTGCCCCAAGCACGCGCGCGCGCACGGCACGGCACCACGCGGCACGGCACGGCACGACTCGAAACGAGGCGGCGCGGGACGGCGCACGCACGCACGGCGCGGCCCGCGCACGCGCAAGGCACGACACGGCGCAGCAGGGCATGCGGCACGACATGGCGTTGGTTTCACCGTACACTCTTGCGCGCGCATCCATATTGGATACTTGTGGGAGGGGGAGAAGGGGGTGTCCATTATACCGCCCTGGGGGAAACAAAAAAACATAGGTTCCCTGGCCCTGAGCTGAGGGAGCCCGGCCGCCTCGAGTTTGTGAAGGGCGCCCGTGGTCCAGCAGGGGCACCGGCCCGAAGGGGACCTGCGAGCCAGCCGGGAACACCGGCACGGCCAGCGCGAGGAGCCCGCGGGCAACGGGCCACGGGGCGGACATCCCCAGGGCCTCCTCGAGGCGGCTGCCACGACGTGCCCCTGGCCCAAGGTGGCCCCCACTTTTTGCTCTATTTCGGAGACCCTGGGGCCCTCAGGACCTCGCGAGAGGTGCTCTGGAGGCCCTGTGGCAGAGGCCTCCTAGATGGAGCTGGAGCAGGTGGGGTCGGAGGATCGCGCCGCATGGCCGATACATCGCCCATGCCTCGCCGATGCATCGGCGAAGCATCGGTGACGTCGGCGGCGCATCGGCGAAACCAGCGCAGATAATTCTGGGCTCCACATCGAGCCACATCGCCGATGCATCGGCGATGCGGCACGATCCTTCGACCCCATCTGCACCGACCCCATCTAGGAAACCATGTGGGCCTCCTTACAATTCCTGGGGTCACCGTGGGCCGGAGGCACGCCTAGCAACACCCGGCTCCTGCATCGCGGCGAGCCAGCCCGGCCAGAGCGGGGTGGGGAAGCAGCTCGGGCCAGCGTGCTTCGGGCAGCTCGCCATCGCTCGGACGTCCGTTCCCCGTGCATGTTTCGGTTTCGTCCGCGCCTTTTCCGCAAAAATCATCCAGGATGCTCCTCGATGGTCCTCGCAGAGGAAAAATGCACACGTCCGAGCGATGCCTCTGCGGCGGGCCGCGCTCTGATCGACGGATGTCGCGGGTCCGCCTGTTGGGGGGGTGTCGCCCCTCTCGTTCCCCGGGTGGCGCCCGGCGCCATTTCCAAGACGGCGCAGGACGGCGTCCGAAGGCGCACGGTGGTATCCCAGAGGGCTCACCGTCTGAGCGACAAAAAGACAGGGGACTTGCGCGGGATGGCATGGCGACCTCACGCGGAGACTTACGCGGGCTGGCCGCGCGGCACGCCACATTGGAGACGAGGGCGCTTACGCGCGACCTCACGCGGGCACCTTACGCGCCAATGTCGGCGCATACGACCCCGAGACACATAGACACATGGATAGATACACACACCTGAGTTGAACAACCGCCTGCGCATGCACTAAACTTTTGATTCGGTGCGCCTGATACTCTGTTTCCACGTGCACACAGACATAATTACCCACCCGCAACCAAATCAGTACGACACGCGCACGGCCACGCTTCCACACACTCCTTGGTCTTGGGCTATTGGAATGCGTGGAGCGGGCGCATATTAAGATGGCGAGAACAAGAGAACGATGGCGAGGACGACGAGAACGAGGGATAGTGTGAACATAAAAGCGAAACGAGAGGAACAACCGCTCTAGTCAATATGCCACTATCCTTTCTCCTCGTTGCTTCGAGCAAGAGGTGTTGGCTCACCTTCATCCCCTTGCTCCGCTTGCTGGCTGTGGCTCGCAGTTGTGTAAAGCTCCGAAGACGCGCAACGCAACGAACGAAAGGGAATAACGAGGAGAAGGGCTTATACCGAGCGGGCAATCCACAACACTCACAGTTATGTAGGGTGCCCATGCGAGGTCGCTGGCACGACAAGGAAGGGTCTGGAGGATGAGGAGGAAGTCGACGATAATGGGTAATTTGCATTGCGGTTGTAACCGTTCAGTCTATGTCTTGCAGGCGGCCAAGCTTCAGCCATACATTGTTTGGTGGACACACGTGTACGGTCAGGATGGTCGTCACGAATGGGTACAGTGGGGATTGGGTCGCTGGGTGCCTCGAGTCAAACACCTGCTGCCTCAGGGCCTGGCACCGAAGCCGCGAGTATGCGACACCATTGCTGTGCTGACGCTGTTGCCAAGCTCTTCTCCCCCTCCTCAACCGCTTCTCCATGTCTCTCAGCCCCCCTGCTCCCTGCTCCGCCTCCACCTCCGCCCTGCTAGCTGCTACTTGTTCCCTCGTCTGCCTCTCCCGATCCCTGCTCCTTCCTACCCTTTGCTTCTCCGGATCCCCCTTCCCTGCTCCCGCTCACTCGCCCCTTCCGCTCGCCGTCGTCTTCCTCCTCCTCCTCCTCCTCCTCCTTCTCCTTCTCCTTCCTCGCCTCCTCCTCCTCCTTCTCCTCCTCCTCCTCCTCCTTCTCCTCCTCCTCCTCTTCCGCCTCCTCCTCCTCCTCCTTCCTCCTTCCTCCTTCCTCTCCTCAAGTTTGCCGTGCTGCGCGGGAGCCGGCGGATCACGGACGAGTGCCGCGTCCAGCGAGGACCTTCAGGCACCACTGCAGGAGTTGCGAGCCCTTCGCCCCTCCCGAAGCAGGGACCAACCACCACTAAGGCTGTGTATGACTACCTACCAGACCACCCCAACCCAACCCGAAGACCCGAATTTCGGGTTGGGGGGGGGTATGGGCTCCATATGTTTTTTTTCGATGTTTCCGGACCCCCCCCCACTAGAAATCGAGGGTAAATCTGAGCCTTCGGGTTGGGTTGGGGTGGTTTGGTGGGTGGTGAGTGTAGGCCTCCTCTTTCGTTAGGCAAACGTAGATTGACTGGCATTGCAGCGTCAATCCTTCTCCTCCTCCACCTCCTCCTCCTCCTCGCCCTCCTCCTCCTCCTCCTCCTCCTCCTTCTCCCCCGCCCGGTCCCAGCGCGGGCCTAGGTCGCGCTTGGCTGCGAGTTTGCCGTACGCGTAGACGACCCGCATGAGGCGCTCGTCGCTGTAATCCCCTGGCCCGGAAGGGTGATGGGGGAAGAGGAGGAGGCGGGAAGGAAGGAAGGAAGGAAGGAAGGAAGGAGGAGGAGGAAGAGGAGAGGGAAATAGGAGGGGGCAGGAAGGAAACATGACGATAGAGGACGAGGATAATCAAACAGCTGGAGCAACAGGCGCATGTGGAGGAGCCCTCTGTGCAGGTGGCTTGGTACGATTGGTTTTTGTCTACCGCCTTTCTTCCGCTTCGGGAGATCTGCTTACGCCTGCCTAAATATGAGGTCCTAGCACTTCCTCCTCTCCTGCGGACCGAACGTGGCGGGCAATCTGGCGCCCCTGGCCGCCCGTGGCCGCAATGATGGCGCTGGCCATCCGGTCCGCCTACGGCTGGTTGAGGTCCTCGCCGTCGGTCAGCGGATGAGGGTAACGAACAACGTGAACACGTTGGACTGCAGTCACACATAAGACATAACACCATCCGTCAATACCATTAGATCCTCCGCCGGCCAAAATGAAGAGCATTCGAGGGTACCCTCCCCCACGATGCATAAGAACATCCAACAAGCACGAATAACATAGGGTACCTTCCCCGAACCGACCTCGATCACACCTTGGTCCGACTGTATCAGTTCTCGTTCCTGAACTCGAAGAGGAGGGCGCAAGAGGTCCTTGCTTCTCCCTGGCTCTGGCTCCAGCAATCCGTTGACGTGGAAGGGACGGCGAGGCTTGGAATTGGATTGAGCGGAGCGGTTGGCGAGCACGTCACTTGATATAACCGATCCTCGCAACTCCACCCACAGTGCCTCTACAGCACTGGGGCGTGCCTGCATGCTTGCCTTTTATCTGGTGGGGATTCTATGGTATTCGAAGGCCCCAGCCCCCCCCCCGCGCCGTGCGGGCGGGCAACCATGGTAAAAAGCCCCCCCCTGGAATTGTTCCCTGGCGCAGTTCTCCCCCTGGACGACTCCAGGACAGCCGAAGACCTGCGGGCGCCCAAGCAGAGAGGCGCACAGAAATGCGAGCGGGCGTCCACTCACGAAGCAGGAGGGCGCTACACGTCCTTTGGAGTCCGCGGATCGCTAACGTCACGGGCTGCATTCCCGATTACAACCGCTGCGATATTCACGCGCGCGTGCCGGCCAGCGTGCGCGGAGGTGAGCAATACATGAGGATTACGAAAATCTGCCCACCCTCGTTTTGTGCTACCAGTGGTTGGTGTCTTCGATACGGCATCGGCACATCTCGGATGGGCCCATACCTGTATTTCCTCCTTTGCAACCGCCTCGCTGCAGACGGAGGCATTCCGTCCACTTCCGCTCTGTCCAAGAGAGCCGAGGTACGTCTTTGGTCTCGGGCGCACCATCGGGGCCCTCACGCAGCGTCAACATCGAAGCGTCTTCTCATCCTCCTCCAGCTCCCGCTGCTCTTCTCGGGCTCTCGCTGCTCCCGCCTCCTCCGCCTCCTCCCCTTGCTCCTCCTCCCCCTCCGTCTCCCTCTGCCTCCCCCTCCCCCTCTCTCCCTCTTTCTCTCGCTCTGTATCTTGTTTGTTTCTCTCTGTCTCTGTCGTTTTTTCTCGCTCTCTCTCTCTCTCTCTCTCCCTCCCTCCCTCCCTCCCTCCCTCCCTCCCTCCCTCTCTCTCTTTACATATATATATAAACATATACAAGACTGCATTGGCGCTTCGCGCCATGCACCTTGGTCCCTGAAGTTTGGTATGCAGGCGGAATAACAGGAAAATCACGCCGACAATTTAGCCATAACTCCTTGTCGCCTTTTCCGGCATCCCCGTTATAATAATGTTTTTCGCTATCCTTCCTCCATGTTTCTTTTTCCTCATTCTCGCCATGCCCTGCGTATTCTCCCCATCCTCCTCAGCTCTTTTGTGGAGGCTCCTCCTTGGAGAGCCTCTGGTGGCCTCACCAAAAATATGCGGCTTCCTTAAAGCATTCTGGAGTCCTCCTGAGCGTCTTCTTGGGGACTTTGGAGGCTTCCTCGGGCCCCCCCCCTGCCTCCAACCGCGGTCTCCCTGAACGACCGGGTCACGATTTAGAATGCTTCGGAGGGTGTCTTGGGGCTATCTTGGGCCATCATGGGGCTCTCTTAGGCCATCTTGGAACCATGTTGTGCCGTCTTGGGGCTCTCTTGGACCGCCTGGAAGCCCTTTCGGATGGTTGTGGGCGATTTCCGAGCCTCCCAAGCGGCTTCGGACGTCCAGAAGACCGCAGTCTTGGAGCGCCGGGAAGCCGAAAAGAAGAGAACCCCAAAATTCACCAACAACCAACATAGAATCACGGAATTCTGCCTCTTGGGACCTTCTTGGGAGTGCTCTTGGAGGCCTCTTGAGACGTTTTGCAACGATCTTGGGGGGTATCATGTCTTCGTTGGGGTCGTCGTGGGCCGTCTTGGGGCTCTCTGGGGTCGTTTCGGGAGCGCGCCGGAACGCCTGGAGCCCTCTGAGGTCGTCTTCGGGCCCTCGTGGGTTTCTCCCGGGTCGTCTGGACGGTTGCCCGAGAGGCCCAGGGTGGGCCAAATTCGTTAGGCGGGGGGAGGGGGTGCGCTTTTTCGGGGGTCCCCAGCCTGATAAGCATATATTCATATATATGTGAATATATATATACATATCGATTCATATCTCTCTCTCTCTATATATATATATATATATAAATTTCATATATATATATATATATATATATATAGGTGTGTCTATGTGTCTATCTATAAGCACGTGTATCTATACTTGTATATATAGATACACATTTACACATACATGTGTATATACACATGGCTCGCTCGCTCCCTGCCCTCCCCGAGGAGGGGAGGACCTGCCCTGACAGCGAAGGCCTTGAGCAGCCTCTGCAGCTGCCTCGGGGCATGGGGGGGCAGGCACAGGGCCGCCGCCGAGAGATGGGCAGGAAGGGCGCGGCAGAGGCGGAGGAGGCGGAGGCGGAGAAGCAGAAGGAGGAGGAGCAGGAGGCGGAGGAGGAGGCGGAGGAGGCGGAGGCGGAGGAGGAGGAGGCGGAGGAGGCGGAGGAGGAGGAGGAGGAGGAGAAGGCGGAGGAGGAGGCGGAGGCGACAGCCTCGTCGCTCATGTCTACCTGGCGTAAGGGAGGAGGAGTGGAGGCGGAGGAGGAGGAGGAGGAGGAGGCGGAGGAGGAGGAGGAGGAGGAGGAGGAGGAGGAGGAGGAGGGGGGGCTGAGGAGGAGGAGGAGGCGGAGGAGGCGGAGGAGGAAGAGGCGCAGGGCCGCCACGGGGAGATGGGCGAAGAGCGCTGCAGAAGAGGAAGAGAAGGAGGAGGAGGATGAGGAGGAGGATGAGGAGGAGGATGAGGAGGAGGAGGAGGAGGAGGAGGAGGAGAGGGAGCGAAATCAGGGAGGCAGGGGAAAGAGGAAGGGCAGGCGGAGGATCATTTCCCCCCTCGAGGACACCACCGCACGCGGCCACACACGAACATCAAACTGCATCGGCCTGGCCCGAGACCAGACGCAAAAACAGAGGCGGAGGAGGAGGAGGAGGAGGAGGTGAGTGAAGGAGGGGAAATGGATGGTGCACCGATCCGCAGTGCGATTCTGGCGCCGCCAGGGCGCGAGCGCCGCGGGCATACGACGCAGTGAGCACGCGCCTCGGCGCGCAGGGCTGCGGCGCCACCTCGAGCAAGACGAAACGAAACAAACGAGGGGCAGGAGGAGGGCCACCTCCCCTCCTCGAGCACACCACCGCAGGCGGCAGACCTGGAAGAACCATCGGGCCGCGGTCGCACAATGAAGCTGCAACGGCCCGGCCCGAGACCAGAAGAAACGGCAACTGGTCCTGCGAAGAAAGAATACCTCGGGGTCGGTTCAAGAAGAAACCGGCCAACCAAGACGGAGGGAGGGGAAGGAAGAGGGGGAAGGAAAGCGATGGGCAACTGGAGACGGGAGACAGCGAGTGAGCGAGCGGCGAACGAGCCACCAATGCGGACACCCTCTGAGCCTATCTAAGGCTAGGCGGGTGAGGCCGTGGTTTTTTTTTTGTTTCTCTCTCTCTCTCTCTCTCCATGTGTATGAACTTGTACACATGTAAATGCACATATATGTAGATTGACTTTCTTATCGTCGCCGTGTTCATTTGGAACGGCCATGGCGCGCGATCGTTTGTGAGTTTCGAGGTCAGAGTCACTGGGGCCTGTCCTGGTGGGGCCTCTTGGGGGCCTTGTGGTGGCATTTTCGGGCCTTCTTTTGGATTTTTTGCCCTTTGGACCCCGCTGGGGGCCCTCTGAAGGCTCTCTTGGGCCGTCGTGGGCGCTTCTGGGGCCGCCTCGGCTCCTTCAGGGCGCTCCGGGGCCCTCTTGGGCCGTGGTGGGATGATCTGGGAGGCCTCGTGGGCCGTCGTGGACGCCGCGAAGGCCCAACAGTCGCTTATGCTAAAGGTATAGGTTTTCCTTAGGGAATGGGCAGTGTTTTTCCTCGCGGAGCTCTTATCGGAGAGCTCTTGGAGGCCTCTTGGGACGTCTTGGAGGGCCTCTTGGGCCTTCAGGGGGCCATCTGGAGCATCTTGAACCGACCGCTCGCTGACTCGGGGTCCTCTTGGACCGTCGGACAGGCCTGTTTGAAGGGGCTCTGGGACACACAAATAACAGGATTCCCCATATTTTCCCATATTTTATGGGTTTCTGTTTTCCCCCCCACACTTCGCATCTTTTCCCACATTTTCCTGGAAATCGACGATTCATTGTGTCTGTGTGTTTCTTCCCCTCCTGACTTTTGTGACCCTCTTGGTCCCCCTTGGTCTGTCTTGGGGCCCTCTTGGGGCACTCTGTGGCCGTCTAAGGCCCTTAAACGGCGCTCCGGATCAAGCCAGCCCACGGGGCCGGAGATCACGTCAGATCCGTCTTCTAAGAATACGGGTTCCCTCTTCCTCCTCCTCCTCCTCCTTCTCCTCCTCCTCCTCCTCCTCCTCCTCCTGCTCCTCCTCCTTCTCCTCCTCCTCCTCCTCCTCCTCCTCCGCTTCCTCCCCCCACTCCTAGCCCTTTCGATCAGGGTCGGCGGCACCGGCCGTCAGGCCTCTCCAATACAGGTGCCCATGGTATTCGTACGCGGGGCGTGCATAGCAGACTCCTGCTGTGGACTCGCTGGCTGAGTGGCAGTGGTTGTGGTATTAGTGGTGCTATCAGTGTGGTAGTGGTAGTGCTACAGACGTAGTGAGGTCGGTAGTCTGCTCGTGGTAGTGGTTCGTCGTGGTTGTGTAGAAGTGGTAGTCTGTGTACTGATTAGTCGTAGCTGTGTAGTAATGGTAGTCAGTATAAGATTAGTCGTGGAGTTGTATGAATGGTGGTGGGATTACTGGAACTGCTAATGCAAGTGTTGGTGAAGCATCTGTCACGCCTGGAGGCCCTCACCAGCCCATCCAGAAACGTTGCCCAGGGCAGGTCCGAAAAGGCGTTCGGTCCCCTTCTCCCTCTTCCTGGGCAGGGGGCTTCTCGGGCCTCCGAGGGTGACGCTGGCGATGGAGGCGTTATGCTACCGCTGGAGGGTGCCAGGGGAGTCCCTCCTTCCCAGGGGGGCTGGTTAGGATTCGCAAGATTTCTTAGGATTCCCGGGGGATCCCCAGGGATTCCGACTCCAAGGGGTTCTCAGGGATGACTACTCCTAGGGGTTCCTAAGGATCCCGATCGATTCCTCGGATTCTCTTCGGGACCAATAGGATCCCCTAGGGATTCTTGGAAGATCCTCTAGAGGTTCCCTCAGGATTCCCTGGGGCTCCCCTAAGGTTCCCAAGGGGTTCCCTAGGGATTCCTGCTCCTAGGGGTTCCCGAGATCCTTAGGATTCTCTAGGGACTCCCACGGCTTCCCTTAGGATTCCCCAGGGATTCCTTCGGATTCCCTGGGATTCCCCAGGGATTCCTGGTGATCCCTACTCCTAAGGATTCTCTGGGATTCCAAAACTTTCAAAAGATTCCTGCTCCCACAGATTCCTGGGATTTCCGAGGTAATCCTGACGATCCCTGGAAATCCCCCAGGGATTCGCTGAGGACCCCCTGGGAATAGAAGGATTCCCGAATGGATCCTAAGGATTCCCTGGGGCATCTTCGGATTCCTACAGATTCCCTCGACTTCCCGATGGCTACATACATTTCTCTCTCTCTCTCTCTCTCTTTCTCTCCCTTTATTATCTCTTCCTCTCTCTCTCTCTCTCTCCTTCTCTTTTATTGATTTTTTTTTTCTCTCTCTCTCTCTCTCTATATGTATATAGATATGTAAAGATACATGTATGTCATTTGTCCCAACCATCCTGTGGTGTTGGGTCCTCAGTTTGAACAGACTCCGCCCCGCGACTCCCCTCCTCCTTTCCTCCTCCCTCCTGCCATTCCTGCACCTGCTCTTCGCATATCACCATCATCATCAGCATCATCATCATCATCATCATCATCATCATCAGCATCATCATCATCATCATCATCATCATCATCACCATCAGCATCATCATCCTCATCATCCTCATCATCCTCATCACCATCATCATAATCAGCATCAGCATCCGCATCGGCATCATCACCATCACCATCACCATCACCATCATCATCATCATCATCATCATCATCATCATCATCATCATCATCATCATCATCATCATCCTCATCCTCATCCTCATCCTCATCCTCATATTCATCCTCATCACCATCATCATCCTGATTGAGATCCTCATCCTCATATTCATCCTCGTCACCATCATCATCCTGGTTGAGATCCTCAGCCTCATCCTCATCTTCATTAACATCATCCCCATCACCACAACCACCATCTTCATCATCATCATCATCATCATCAACAACAGCATCACCATCATCGGCATCAGCACATCACCATCATCATCAACATCAACATCATCACCACCATCATCATCATGACCATCATCAGCATCATCAACATAATCATCCTCATCATCACCGTCATCATCATCATCATCATCAACAACATCAGCACCATCATCATCAGCATCAGCATCACCAGCCTCATGATCCTCAGCCTTATCCTCATCCTCATCCCCATCACCATCACCACAGTCATCATCATCATGAACATCATCAGGATCATCATCCTCATCCTCATCCTCATCCTCATCATCCACATCAGCATCAGCATCACCATCAGCATCCTCATCGTCATCCTCATTCTCAGCCTCCTCATCCTCAACATCAACATCAGCATCATCATCGTCAGCATCAGTATCACCATCACCAGCACCATTACCATTACCACCACCATCAGCATCACCATCATCATCATCATCAGCAGCATCATCGTCGTCATCATCATCATCATCACCAGCATCATCACCAGCATCATCATCACGCTCATCATCATCAGCATCATCATCACCACCATCATCATCACCATCAGCATCAGCATCAGCATCACCATCATCATCACCATCACCATCATCATCAGCATCATCACCATCACCATCACCACCATCATCATCATCGTCATCATCATCCACATCACCATCACCATCACAATCATCATCAGCAGCATCATCATCATCATTGTCATTATCATCATCATCATCAGCATCAGCATCAGCATCATAATCATCATCATCATCATCATCGTCATCAGCATCAGCATCAGCATCAGCATCAGCATCAGCATCATCATCGTCATCATCATCATCATCATCATCATCATCATCATCATCATCATCGTCGTGATCGCCATCGTCATCGTCACTCAACCACGTTTCGGCACGCTCCTCACACGTTTCGTGGCCCCATAGGGATCTCCACCTACGGCCTCAGTGGCACCGCTCCCATGTGGGCATGCCACCTTTTCGGCACAACCCCTCACACGTTTCGTGGCCCCATATGGAGCTCCACCGAAGGCCCCA